ATACAGATGGCATATGCTATTCATTTCCTTTTGATTCCACATAGCCTAGTATTCAGAATAAGAAGAGAAACTGGTAAAGAAGGGGCAGATGGTCAATTTAGAGGTGCTTTCCTGTACATGAGGAAAAGAATCCAAATAGTAAAGGACAGAAACATTTGTTATAGGCATTTGTTCTCCAATTACAGAATTAAAGCACACAGGAAGTTAAAAGTCTTATCTTGTTTACAAAGTAGTCTCATACAGCTAGCAGGGAACCTCTTCAGTTTGAAGCTAGGAGAAAGATCTATTTTTTAGATAGCAGTTTATTCAAGAAATCCAGCAAAGAAAACTAGCTAATGCACCTCACTGCCCCCTTGCAATGAGATCCAGCCTCAGAGGCGGCAGCCTGTCCTGCCTGAATCACAGCAGTGTCAATATTCCTATGTTCATGTACCACTATGAGCAAGGATGTCTGACTAGCTGCAAACAACCAACCTACTCTGAGTGGAACTAGTTGGCCCTTATGTTCCACATTATTCTCCTTAGCAGAAAGGTTTTTGAGCATACTGAAGACTCAGACAGGCTCTGCACTAGCTTAGCAGTTGTGTGATCTTACTACAGACTAATACAAGGGGAAGCTTCAGCAGCTCCTCCTGCTCATTTTGAGACATGAACTTGTTTTTGCAACTACTTCTTTCCCTGCTGACCTGCCCACCTTGATATTCAAATGCGAAGAGGCACTGGTAAGCGGATTTATGAAGCCAGTTATCACATCTGTTCCCAGCAGTGCTAGTAACTGCTTTCCCATCCCGTTTCCTACCTGAGGCCCTTTGGGATTGTTATTGAACTCTTCCACCACATCCATTCTTTGCTTGGGATTGACAGAACCATCCACGGTAGCATACTTGAGGCCTAGGCGCTGCAGGTGCACAGCCACGACCTTCAGCATGCTCGTCCACTGAGACACAATAACGCTGCAGACAGGACAGGCAGTTCAACACAAGCGCTACGTGCACTGCGACAGTGCACTCACTGCATCATCTCACCTGAACACGGCTTATATAAGCATTCTCCCTCACTGCAAACTGGACAGA